GGAGCTCCCTATGGGGCCACGAAGCGCTGCCCTGGGTGGGGGAACCGCATGCGAGAGCAGCCACTGGGGCATTCGGTGGAGCTCCCCATGGGGCCACGAAGCGCTGCCCTGGGTACGGGAACCGCTTGCGAACTGCGCCACTGGGGCCTTCGGTAGAGCTCCCTATGGGGCCACGAAACGCTGCCCTGGGTGGGGGAACCGCATGCGAGAGCAGCCACTGGGGCCTTCGGCGGAGCTCCCTATAGGGCCACGAAACGCTGCCCTGGGTGGGGGAACCGCATGCGAACACTCCCAGTGGGGTCTTCGGCGGAGCTCGGCCGTTTGGATGGCCGCTGGGCCCTCGGAGGGCCTTTGTTTTTGAAGAGTCGCTGTCATGGGTTTGCCCCGCGAGCGCAGTGCTAATTCCTGAAAGTTGCGCGAGGCGTCCTGTGCGGGTGTCAGGTTTGGGGGATTGGTGGTCCTTTCGGTTTCGGGAAATTGCCACGAGTATGTGGGCTGGGGTTCGAAAGTGTGGCAATGATACACATGTTGATGTTCAGGGGTTCCCTTTTAGTCAGTAGTGGGATTCGGGAAACATCCTAACTGCAAATCGTTGGGATTCAGAAGTGCGTTTGGAAGCAGAGTTCCGGAATGAGAATAATCCTACCAGGCATGTTTTTGGAAATGCGGGCCTGCCATTTCTAATGTCGAGTTCCGCGTACAATGGCCATTTTGGATCTATCCAGCCCAAGAGGGCCCCAAGACGGCCCAAGAGGCCCTCAAGACGGCCCCAAGACGGCCCCATAGACCTCCAAGACGGCTCCTAGAGCGCCACGACTTCCCAGACAGGGCCCCAAGACGGCTTCCGAAGGCCAAGAGATTCCTTGGAGGCCCCCGAGGCCCCGAAGAGGCCCTGGGAGGCCCCCGGGAGGCCCCTCTGATGCCCCTGGGAGGCTCCCAGGAAGCCCCCAGGAGGCCCAAGACGGCCTCGGGAGGCCCCCTCTTCTTCGTCCTCCTCCTCCTCCTCCTCCTCCTCCTCCTCCTCCTCCTCCTCCTCGTTCGTTCGCTCGCGGCTTCCGGGCGGAGCGCGGAACCCCGATCACTGACGGGTGCACGGCAAGAGGAGGCGGATGGGGGGGAAGAGCGCGGCGGCGGCAGCCGAGCCAGCAGCCAGCAGCTACGAGGGATTGAGATCCTCGAGGGCAGAGTGTTGCCAGTTAAAGTCCAGCGGAGACTCGATCCTTCCCCGACCCCGCGGTCCTCCCCTTGACTCGTGGATGCCGTGACAATGGACACTCTAACACTCCTGTCATTGAATTAAAGGTGTTGTGTTCGAGATGTGTAAAACATGTTCTAAGCATGTTTCAAATATGTGTTTAACATATTGAAAACATGTTTGTAACATGTTTCAGGTATCTGGAAATCATTTGGCAGCATGCTTCCTCTCCATTAATCGACTTGACGATAGTACCGTATGGCGCGGTGAAAACCCCTTGAGGACTCAACAAGCACAACAGTAGGAGCAGCCTCCAGGGCCCTTCACTAAAAATGTCCCCCTCCTCCTCCTCCTCCCCCTCCTCCTCCTCCTCCTCCTCCTCCTCTTCCTCCTCCTCTTCCTCCTCCTCCTCCTCCTTTCCCTTGCTTTCCCAAGTGCTCCCCCATTCCACAGAGGCTGGGGGAACACATAGTCCGACGGCTTGGCTGGACGTCCGCCGAACGTTTGGCCGCATGGGCGTTTCCAAAACACAGGGGGCGGCGGAAATTCGCCGTAAGAGTCTTCGATACACGCCGAAGAAGGCAAGAAAGCTGACCCAGCTTTCTGCAAAGTACCTAAAAAATGCCCATCCTAACACGCACAATTACTCTCGAGAGGCAAAATGTAGATGTGTCCAACTTCGCGGAAAATTCCAAATGAACAACGCTGCTGTGACCGCGAAACCAACTCTGGCCCACCCCCGCCTTCGGGTCCCTCTACCGTGTGGCCTGCATGCGAACTCTGGCGACCGGCAGAGAAACTCGATCCGCAGTAATATCCTGAGCCGAGTCGAACATGAAACGCTCAGAATACAAAGCAGGGGACGACGGTTGACATCACAAGTCAGACTCGAGCAGAAGACAGAGAGACATATTGTCCCGCAGAAGGCACCTAAGGCGCAGCGGGTTGGCGTCAAGCGCCGATGCTGGGCTCTCAGACTCTGGAGATTAAAATTTGAGCAGCCCGGGTCAGAAGAACGAGAACAAGTGTCAGAGCCAGAGTCGGAGATAACGCAGGGGTCGAGGAGGTAGGAGCCGGAGTCGGAGAGACGACAATGGTAAATCGAAGCCGGAGTCGGAAAAATACGAGCTGGACGTGGTGTCGTCGGAGCTGGAGTCGGACAGCATGAGTCGGAGAGGCGCCGGACGCAGGAATCGGACAAAAGAGAATCTGCTATCTCGAAATGGATCTGGAGAGCGCAGGGGTCGGAGAGGTAGGAGCCGGAGTCGGAGAGACGACAATCAAAATACCCGAGACGTACCGAACCCCTTCTCCAGGGGAGGCGATTACTTGTTTGACAGCTACATACAAAAGAACACGTCGCCTAGTATGCACGATCAGGGCTGCCCTCATCTCCGCCGTGCCTCCCAGGAGCCCACGAAAGTGGCGCACTTCGTAGCCTCCCAAGGAGCAGCGAAGTCTCGTCTAGGTGCGCATGGCCCCCGATTCCGCTGTACTTTCCCCAAGAGCCCACGAAAGTGGCAACAGTTCAGATGCGCAGCTCGCAACCACCCAAAGAGATGCGACGTCTTAGATACTCCACTACTCCGCCGTGCCTCCCAGGAGTCCACGGACATGGCAACAGCTGCGAGGTCTCGGGTGTTCCGCTACTCCGCCGTGCCCCCAAGGAGCGCACGAACGTGGCGACAGTTGCACGTTCGCAGCCACCCAGGGGGTTGGGAGGTCTCACGTACTCCGCTACTCCGCCGAACGGCTCGCCACATTCGCGGGCTCCTGGGAGGCTCAACTTCCCAGGAGCACACGAATGTGGCGACAGTTGCACCTTCGCAGACACCCAAGAGGCTGCGAGGTCTCACGTACTCCGCTACTCCGCCGAGCGGCTCGCCACATTCGCGGGCTCCTGGGAGCCTCCGCCTCCCGAGAGCCCACGAGTGTGGCGACTGTTGCACCTTCGCAGACACCCCGGAAGTTGCCCACGAAACTGGCGAGAGCTGCGCAATTCGCAGCCACCCAAGGAGCTGCGAGGTTTCAGGTACCTAGTCGGCCCCGATCGCGGGCGCCCACGCGGCGGCAGGGCATGCTGTCTGCGGCGGCATGGCGCCCTGCGACGGGCTAGTAACACACGACATGGAACCTCCAGCACCAGGGGCCTCGGCGGCGCTGGCTGCCCAGGGGTCGAGATCCCGAGTGTGCCAAGGGTCCGTTGTGGATATGTCGTTGCTGTCGTCACTGGCCACGCCCACGATGCTTCCGAACGACGACGGCGAACGAAGAGCGCTACCCATGCTATTTGGTGCATGTTCCACGATGCGACCCACGCGCCCAAACATAGTCGTGAGACTCTTGAATTCAGGCTCCGTGGCTGGAGCTAGATTGCCGCATGGCTCGAGTAGCGTCATGAGTTGGCTAGATGCGGCGCCGACCGCTCGGAGGGCGGCTAGCTACAGCATTCCCAGACATCGCCGGTCCACCGTTGCGCGCAACTCGGACTCGCATCGTGAGAAGCCGCGAGAGCAGCGCATCGGTGGTCTCGCTGCGGCGCCTCGAGAACTCGAAGAACCCGCGGGTAGCCTGGAGGCACGACTCCTCGCCCAGTGGACCGAAGCGAATGGCAAACTTCGCGATGAGGTGTGTCACGGCGTCCTCGTGCTCGTCATTGACTACGCCTCCCTCTGTCATCTCCGCGAAGATCATGGAGCGCGTGAGCTCGCGAGCGGCTCCACCAATCATATGTAAGGATGACGGCAGCGCATTGTTGGGCGATGTCAGTGTCGGAAGCGAACGCGCCCCTCGCGAGCAAGTCTTGTACCCAATGACGGAACAGATACACTGACTCGCACTCAGGCGACAGGCAGGACGGATGGCGGGAAGTGATGCTACCGCGGCCGCCTCCACCGCCCTGTGGGCCGCCTCCACGGGGCACCATGCCAGTGAGCCAAAGAAGCGCGATCATGAAGAACATGGGGATGCTGCCCCATAGATCCAAGATGGATATTATTCCCGGTTAGAATCTACCACGATGGGAGCTGCGGAGGCGTTTTGGGACCCAGGCCTGCGCAAAAGCGAACGCCATACCGAAGTTGGGGGCAGCCGTAATGGTGCCGACAACCGTGGTCGAGACTCAGGGAGGTGAGAACGGCGCATTAACATTCAGTGGTTCATTTGGGTGGTGCGACGCGCTCGCGAGGACAGCTAGCACTGTTGCGCACTTCGCGAGGCACAGTATTAGCCTGGGTAAGAGCTTCGGCGTCATGCCCGACGCGAAGCTACGACCAGCTCCTGTGGAGTGCGATGGGTCGTGTGAAGGTCGTGGAGTTCCCTTGGGCGGGTCGCTCCACATCGCGTAGCTTGCAGCTGCTTTTGCCCTCACAGCCGGATCCTCACAAACACTCGACAGCTGTTGCTGGTTTGTGGGCGCCCGGGGCGAAATATCCGTAGGTTTACACGACAGCAACAAGCATAAGCTGTTCATGGATTGGAGGGTGGTACCCAGGCGGAGGCGAGGGGACTGGCGAATGCGCGTCCACATATAACTCTGCGCACGTTCTGTGGATCGCGAGCTGGGATCGTTCCCAGTCCCGCTGCCAACTTTAACTGCCGGGGCTGAAAGCTTGACGAGAGAAGTGTAGAAAGCGGGCTCTTAAACTCACGAGTCCAGTTTAGTACGCGCTGGTGCTCAAGCCAAACGGCGGCTGAGCATCTTCTTCGAATGAGGAAAAGGAAAAGGAGGAGGAAGAGAAGGAGGAGGAGGAGGGAGGATGGAGAATGGAGGACGGAGGATGGAGGATAGAGGATAGAGGCTGGAAGTAGAGGAGGGGAGGGAAGAAGAGGAGGATCAAGAGGAGAATTCGCCGGCCCAACGGGCCAGGGCGTGCCAAGATCTCCAGTAACTGGTGAACAATATTAACAATATTTCTAGTTCGCGCGCGCGGGGCGGCCCCTGGGTGTCCCCCGGCGAAAAGTACCCCGACCAACGCCCGGTCGCCGCCCGACCAAGTCTACTCAGAGATGGTTTTCCTTCTGGGTGCGGCCTCTCAGGCTCCCCAGAGCGCGCTCAGAGTGCCCCAAGAGGCCCCCAAGACTGCCCAAGAGGCCCCCGAGACGCCCAAAGAGCGCTCGAAGACGCCGAAGATGACCCCAAGACGGCCCAAAAGGCCCCCAAGACAGCCCAAGAGGCCTCCAAGACGCCCCAAGAGCCTTCCAAGAGGCCTCCGAAGAGAGCCCCAAGAGGCCAAAATCGTTGATTTTCATTTGTTTTTTCAATGTTTTTTGTGTTCTGGCTTTTTCGGCTTCCGGACGCTCCAAGACGGCCCAAGAGGCCCCCAAGACCGCTCCAAGACGGCCCACGAAGCTCCCAAGACGGCGCCGAAACGACCCAAGAGAGCCCTCAAGACGGCCCAAGTGCCGCCCAAGACGGACCAAGAGGCCCCAAGACGGGCCCAAGAGGGACTCAGGAGGGATACCGAGAACTCAAAAATGGAGCCCTCCGTCCCAGAAGGCGCCCAGGAGGTCCCAAAGAGGCCCCAAGAGGCCTCCAAGAGGCCCCAAGATGTCGCCAAGAGGCCCCAGGAGACTCCCAGGAGGCCCAAAAGAAGCCCCAGAAGGCTTCAAACATGTCTCCCAGGCGCCCCCGAACGGCCTCTCAACAGACCCCAAGAGGCCCCCCAAAGAAGCATCTTGACGACGACTCTATTTCGCCCCATCGAGAGACGACCCCCAGGGAACTGCTTCACCATCAAAACTCCCCACGCAACGCGTCCGAACGACACCCGCCCCCAAGAGCGCAACATGGGCAACGAACACACAGACAAAAACCAGCGATGCCATATCACGGGCCGGCGGAATGAGCGAAGCGATTCAATAATCAAAAACGCGGGACCAAATTCCATCAAATTTCCGTCGAGGCTGATTCCGCAAGCCCCCCTCGAACATGGCACAAGGGGACAAGTTTACAAACCAACGGAGAACCCTCGACCTCCAGGTAAACGGGGAGACGGTGAAGGGTGACGCCCACCAGGTAGATTGAAAGCGTCACCCACGTGCACTGCGCACGCTGGTGACGGCTGTTCAGACTGCAAAGTGCACGGTCGGCTGCAGCATGCTGGATGTGGAAAGGAGGTCGAGGAGGAAAGAAGAGGAGAGGGGGAAAATCAGGTCCAAATCAAGCGGACGGGCACTACGCCATCAAGTGTCCCATCCGCTAGGGCATACGAAAGCGCTTCGAAACCCTCAACAAGGCGCTCGACCAGCGTGCATTTCCAGTCGTATCTGACAGCTGAAGACAAGATGCCTTCTCGACTGCTCCTGTATACAAATGCATATCCGCCAGCGTGCCCTGAGGCACGAGTTGGAGTGTCCTCAGGTCCCTTCAGTTATGTTTTGAATTCCGTCATTCTGCACGGGTTCCACAGCCTGGCAGCCTGGAGCTCCGAGCGCTCTCGCGTACTCCTGGGCGCTTTTGGGCGCTCCTGGGGGGTCGCCGCGTGACCTCTCGAGAAGCCAAGAGCGCGTTGTTCGGGACACACACGTCCAACATGTTTTCCTATGGCCCAGGGACCGTCCTGGAGCCCTCTTGGGCGCCTCATGAGCCCTGCTGGACCCAAGATCATCCCAAAACGGCCTAAGAACCCCCAAGACGGGCCCAAGAGGCCCATAAGACGGCCCCAAGAGGGGCCCAAGATGAGGAACACGGACTGACATTTTGAGCCCTCCGCCCCACGATGGCCCCAGGATCCACCCAAAGCCCCCAGGGTGCGCCCAAAGGCCCCCCAAGAGGCCCCGACAGGCCCGAATCAGACCTTTAGAGGCTTCCGCAGACGCCCCAAGACCCCCCAAACCGCGTCCAAGAGGCACCCGAAAAGCCTCAAACAAAAATCCCCACAGGCATCCGGGAGGCCTCTGACCTACAACCCAGGCATGGTGGCGGTATTGGCCCAAGGCCAAAGCCGATGTTCAACACGTATGTACATGTGTAATACATAGATGTAGGTGTGTATATGGAATAGCATAACACCAGCGTGTACACATATACATATAAGTACTAGAACCACGCGCGCGCTTCGCGCGGGCTTAGGTTCTAGTCCAACCCATGGCGCTGTGATGAAACGGAGGTCGGGGTTTCCGGGCGACTCGCAGTCGGAGAAGGGTTGTGTCTGTTTTGGGCCGGTTATGGGATGTCGCAGGGCTTCCTTGGACTGGCTTTTGGGCAATTCAGGCGCTCTTGTGGGGGGGGGGCAGGTGTCTGTGGCCCAGGTGGCGCCGTCCAGGGTGGCCTTTTCGTTGTCACGACGCGCAGGTCTTGGCTTGCGGGTTCGTCGTGGAGATCGCCGAACAGGCTTGGGGCATTGACTGGCTTTCTGATGAAATGTCGAGGCCGTAGTTTGCTGGTCTTTGGATGTCGTCACATGTTCTTGGCTTGTCTTGCCGAACATGTGCGGGAGGCACGAGGGATGACGAGGGACGGGACAAAAACTGCCCTGAAATAGAATGCACGCGCTGCCACGCCAGCTGGCGGAACACGTGCAGAAGAAACGAGGAATGCCAGAGGACGGAGAGCAAACTGCCTTATATAAAACATACTTCACGTGCTGTCGCGCCAAGTGGCGGACACTTTCAAAAAGATCGAATAAGACGGACGAAGGATGGAACACAGCCGTGATATTCAATGTACGCGCTGACACGCCAACTGGCGGAGCACGTGCAGAACGAAGGAGCGGTAACGGAGCACGGAGAGAAAACTGCCTTCAAACGGCATGCACGCGCTGTCACGCCGGCTGGCGGAGCACGTGTAGGAGGGACGAGGAAGGACAGAGACAGGAGGCAGAAATATATACGGCAGAAATAAGAACTCTCTTGAGGCGTCTCGGGTCCTGCTGGTACGTGCCCGGACCGTTCTCGTGTTGCCTCCTCACGCTGTGATAGCATACCAACCATGTTGGGGCATCTCGGGGCCTGGGTCTCTTTCGAAGCCTCTCAGAGCCCGGTTTGGGGCCTCTTTGGGGTCTCCTGGAGGCTTCCCCGAGTCCTCCTGGGGTCCCTTGGGGGCCTCTTTGTGTTTTCTTTTGGGCCTACCAGGGGCCTCTTTCGGCCAGCCCTGTTGAGCACCTCTAGGCGGCCTCGGGGGTCATTTTGGGCAGAGGGCTCCAAATAGCACCTCGTATTTACCCCTCCATCCTTGGGCCCTCTTGGGCCGTCTTCGGGGTTTCTTGGTCCATCTTGGAGCCCTCTTGGGCCGTCTTAGGGCCACTCTTGAGAGCATCTTGGGCAGTGTCTTTAAGGCGAATCTGCTAAAACATGCTAGTTTTCCTGATGGGATTGAGCCCTCTTGTGGATCCTCTTGGATTGGTCTTGGATCGTCGTGGACGCCTCCGCTCTAGAGCCGCCTTGACGGCAGTCTGGGGAGCCACTTGACCCGTCTGGGAGCGTTGGAAGCCCGAAACTCGTCAAACAAACTCAAGGAAAATACCTAAATGTAGCCTCTCGGGGCACTCGTCGGGGTGCTGTTTGAACCTGCTTGGGCCGTCTGGAACCTCTGAAAACCGTCTTCAGGGAAGCTCGGGGCAATCTTGGTCCGTCGGGACGGCTGTCTGATCGGTGTCGGACCGTTTGGGCGGTCCCCCAACAGCGGGCCCCAGCTCTGAAGCGCCCCGAAAAAAGTTGGGACCCCACCTGGACAAACAAATTATACGGGGAGGGGGGAAATTTTGAAAAGTGTGCCCGCCCGGGGTCTGGGGTCTCAGGGGGCCTCTTGGGGCGTCCTGGGCTGTTTGGAAACGCTCATGGGGCCCTCGAAGCGCGTCCTGGAGGCGTCCTGGGCTGTCTGGAGTCTGGAAGCTGTCATGTCCGGTCGCGGGACGCCCTGGGGCCGTCTCGGAGCTCCGAAGGCCGCCCGGGGGGCCCAACAGGGAGGGCGGATGCAGCTCTGCACAAGCGGGTCAATACCCTCCGGCGCCCAGAGGCCTGGATCGCCCAGGCCTCTGGGCAGTTGCTTCTGGAGGGTCTCTTTGGCCGCTTCTGTTGCTGAGGACCCCAGGGAGGGTGCGGTTGCTTGCGAACCCCAGGGAGGCTCTCTTTGGCCGTTTCTGGGACCTGTTGGGCCATGATGGGGGGCACCCTGAGCTCGAAGACGGTCCACGTTCGCGTCAGGACGGCAGTTCATCGCCTCTCCTCTCTGGAAGCTTCGGGATCGCCATGAGTGCCTCAGGGCGTCTGGGCAGGGGGTTCGTGGGGGCCCCTTGGGTGCCTGTTGGGGCTTCCTGGGAGCCTATTCGGGGCCCCTTGGGAGCCTTTGGGGGAGCTTCCTGGGCCTCCTGGGGGCGTCTTGGGGCCGAAGATTTGAAGGATCCGTTCGGGTCCCCCCTCTGGGCCCCCTCTTGAGGCCGTCCTGGGGCATTCATTGGCTGTCTTGGCGGCCTTTTGGGCCTTCTTGGAGCTCTCTTGAGCCGTCTTGGAGACATGTAGGGACCCTCGGGCCATCTTGAGGCGATCTCGGAGGTCTTGCAGGCCGTCTTGGATGCTCTGAAAGCTCCAGAGACGAATGTTCTAACAATTTCACATCTTCCGAAAGGAATGAAACCATTTTTGCCGCTTGAGGCCCTCTTGGGCATCCTCTTGGGGCGTCTTGGGGGCCACCTGGGCCGTCTTGAAGCCGTCCCGGGCGTCTTGGAACGAATCGTTCGTCCAGCGACCCCGGGCCGCCTAGGAGCAATTTGAAAGCCTGCCGCACGTGCCTGGGAGGGCCAAGAGCCGCCCAAGGAAAGGGGCCAGAGGCCAGGCACTGAAATCAGGGTTCCCTTTGGCCCACTGGCCCCCTCCCAATTGTGTACACATACATATATATATATATATATATATATATATATATATATATATATATATATATATATATATAGCAACGCGTGGCTGCTACAAGCCAGGTATCACTGAGGTACGTTTCAAGACACCCCTCCTCTTCCCCCTCTTTGACATCCTGATCTTCCCCCCCCTCCTCTGACTCCTCGTCCTCCTCCTCCTCCTACTCCTCCTCCTCCTGCTCCTGCTCCTCCTCCTCCTCTCCCACCCCCTCCTCCTCCTCCTCCTCCTGCTGCTGCTCCTCCTCCTCCTCCTCCTCCTCCTCCTCCTCCTCCTCTTCTGGTCCCTCCTCCTCCTCCTCCTCCTCCTCCTCCTCCTCCTGCTGCTCCTCGGGCGTAGCTGGGGGCGCCTGGGGTTCATCCTCGCGTGCAGAGGCCACCGCACGTTGGGCGGGCCACCTGAAACCTCACCGCCCTGAGCACGCTGGATTGCGTGACTGGCGGGATCACAGGCGCTGACACAGATACGAGAGGGTGCAAGGCATTGAACAAGAAGTAGACAGAGACAGGGACGGTGAAAGAGGCACGAGAGGGGGAAAGGACGCTGAGGCGAGCGAGAGGACGGGCGTCAAGAGGGTGTCCAACAACTTCTGTGAGGAGCCTCAGGAAACAAGGGCACTTCCAGTAGTGCCAAAATCTGTCAGCACATTCTGGACATCCGAGCATGCACGGAGTGGACTTCTGAAGTCGACTGTCAGCAATCCAGGCAGCGGCGAGAGTTTTCAGCACTGCAGCGCGCCAGGAGGGAGGGGGAGAGAGAATCTCGGCACGGCAGCGATCCCAGTCAATTGTCTCGATCTCTTGCACTGACTCTGGGCATCCTCTGCGCAGACGGGCCTTGAACATCGTGGTCAGGTTATCGGGGAAGAGGGAGTGCAGGAGGGACAGGTAGAGAACACGTTGGGGATGAAGAGCTTTCGGAGGAAGGAAAGGGTGAGCGGCAACATGGTCTCGCAGCGCGCGGAGGGCCGCCCTACCAGGGATCCTGCAAGTCGGGGAATCCTGAAAGCCTAGATCAGCCTGTTGTAGATTTTGAGCGATAGGGCGGGACCTCCAAAACTTCGGGCACCAGCGGCGCCCTCCTTCAAGATCAGGAATCCCCATGCAGTCACGCCAGCACGGGAGGGTGCATTTGCACGAGCGCATCAGAGATGCAAGGCAAAGGGCGAGGACAGAGGTCGTTTGGGGTCCACCCTTGTCCTTGAGGCGGTGCCAGTCGGCGTTCGCCCAGCATCGAAATGGTGTCTTAAATAGACGGGCCAGCTGCTGGTACTCTGACTTGCGGAGATGAGGAGGGGTGATCATGAACTGGGCGACGTAAGATAAGACCGTGGCGGCGCGACGGCGATAGAGCAAAGCGGTGACCTCAGTCGCAGAGCCACCAGCAGCTATCATGGCGCAACGAGACTGGTACTTGCTGAGCGGGGCGCGCCACGAGTCCCATTCGACATCAGGTCCTGGAAACATCCCGAAGTACTTGAGTTTGCCCGAGATTCCCATGGAGGTCCATTCCCGAAGGTGAGAGCTAAGCCAGAGGCGATACTAGTGAATGACTTCAGGGGAAGCTGAACCAATAAGCGGGACAATGTGGCACTTCGGGATCTTGAGCTTCAGATGCGCCAGTCTCTGAGCCTTCCGAAAAACCGCCGAGATCTCACTCAAAGCGGAGATGCACTTCAGCGCCATGCCGATGTTGTCGGCACAAGCTCTCGTATGGCCGCGGCCCGCGCCGTCCACCACGGAGCGAAAGCCTTGAAGAAAGGGATCGAGGGCGAGGCTGAAGAGAAGCCCGGAGGCCGGGCAGCCCTGCACGATACCAGCGGTAATGTGGTACATAAAGCTAGTGACCCCACCAATGTTCCCCCGACACGTGACGTGATCATAGATAATCTGGTAGAACCACCGAAGAGGAGGAGGGAGGGCGAGGGCGTCGAGCACCAGCATCAGCCATCTCTGACACAAGCTCGGGAAGGCCTGGCCGAAGTCAAAACCTATAAGCAGCGGAAGCGACGCCCTGGGGCCCATAGAGTAGACCCTCGCGTGAGTGTCTAACTCCGCGATGTTCGAACAAAAGTTTCGGCCCGAGACGAAGCCACGTTGATTCGAGTCGAGTCCAGCGGGGGCGCGACGAGAGAGCTCCCAGCAACAAGCCCCCGTCATAATCTTACAGTGCGTATTTTTGAGGCCGCGAGGCCGAGTATCCCCAACGTCCCGAAAAATGCCGTCTTGATCGCCAGCTTCCGTGCCTTTGGGGATGTAAACTCTCAGCAGCTCGTTAAAGTTGAAGGAGAGCGAGAAGCCGCTCAAGATCCACTGAAGTCCTTCAAGCAACATGGCGGAACCTTGCGGGGCGCGCTGCCACGCAGCATATCTAAGACGGCCGGGCCCAGGGTCAGAGTCGGACTGCCTCCGAAGGTAGCTTTCCAGGAAGGCCAAGGTGGGGGGGGGGGGCATCGCGGCGCGAAACTTCGGGGGCGAACTCCTGCAGGCACGCCTTCGCGGGCTCTTCTCCGAAAGGCTTGCCAGAAAAGACAGGGGCCCAGTGAGCAGACAGCGCTTCGCGGACGCGGGAGGGGCCCTGCAACATTCGCCCCTGGACCCGAACCCCGCCAGAGAGACGCGTTTGTCAAAGGGGGGCCATAACTTGGCAGCCTTTTTCATTTTCTCCACCCGTCCTCGAAGCCAAGCCCGGCGCTGCTCGCTACCAGCAGCAGCAAGGCTCGCTTGCGCGAGTTGTCGCCGACGCTGTGAAACTTCAGCGCGCAGCGTGTCAGAGAGCGATGCAAAGTCCAGCGGCGAGACCAGATCGACCGCGCCCGCAGCTTCGTCGTAAACGAGGTGTTCGCGAGCGAGGGGGTGGGACAGGCAAACACGCTCGGCGAGACGCGCATCTTGCCGAAAGACAGCCCGTGCACACGTACGAACGACGATGAATTTGGCGTCGAGCGACTGCGGCTTGTGTATGATAAGCGAGTTTCGAGCATGTCGGGCTGCTTCTATCATGAGTTTCTTAAAGTATGCATGTCTGAGAGGTACACTAAGATGTTCATATTCAGCAGCGGCAAGTGCACGACGCATATGCCATGCAACTTCGGCCGAGCGAAAGATCTCACGCGGGATAGGACGGGCATCTTCAGGCGGCCGCTGACGAGCAACAAGAGTCGCACAGACTGCAGCATGGTCAGAGATGTGTTTCGCTAGAAGCTGTTCTGGGATCCCCACCACCTCCCCACTGGTAACCATCTGCGATAACACGCACCCAGGAGCAGAGCAGAACAACCGATCGATATAGGATAAGTGCTGTACCCCCGCATGATAATGAGCAGGTGCTTCTAGCTGAAACTCGACCATCTTACGAAGAACTTCGCGCCACTCGGGAGCCCCTGGACCGAGCGGCGGCAGGGGGGCATTGAAAAGCTCGTCGCTCGGGTTGAGCGGCGCGGGCGGTTGCAGCCCGAAGTTAAAGCCCCCGACAACTATGACCAGCTTATTCTGTGGGTCTCGACTAGCGCCCATTAGATCGTTAGCCATACACTGGCATACATGACGACGTTGAACGCGAGAGATACTGTGATTGTGAACGTTGTAGTGAGAAATCCATGTCGAACCATCAAGAGATGAGAAACGCGTGTGTAATACTCGACCAGGAACCAGAGAGAGAGAAGAGACGAGGGGGGACGCGCTGCCGAACCTCCGCTCCTGTTCACTGCTGGGACTAAACTTCTGATACAATGTGACGACGCCTCCTGCGGGGCGCGGCCTGGTGATACCATCATCGTCGAGCACTGCTGGAAGAAAAGAGGAGGAGCAGGAGAAGGGGAGATTAGCGTGATGCAAGAAATCTTGCACCTCTGCAATCGATCCGTGGACTTCCTGCACGGCCACGGTTGCCCCAGGACGGAGCAGGCGTTTTAACTGGCGGAATTTAGCAGTGCGAGCGATAGTCTGATGGTGCAACAAGGCATTCGAATTCCAAGAGCCGATCCTCAACGGCGTCTCGGAAGATCCGCTCCAGAGAGCAAAGAACGTGCTAAAGAGACCACTGGGTCTGACTGTCTCCCTGGATGGCGACAGCCAGCGGCTCCTCGATTGCTTCGCGGGAGATATTCTCGAGAGCCAGATTCGCCTCCGCCCAGCGGATCCGCGGCGCGTCGTCCGCCTGTGGAGTGATCTCCACGAGCTGGCGCCAATTAGTGGAGATGGTGCCGCGCAGCTTGTCAACAAAAAACTCTTTGTCCTGGAAGCGGTTCTCAAAGGGCCTCTTGGCAGCCGTGAGCGCAACTTCACGCTTGACCTGGCACTGGTTTTTGTCCGATCCGACAAAGATCTCTGAGCGGGCGCCCGAGATCGCGGGAGCAAAAAAGCGCATCCACTCTTCGCCGGGACGCTGCGGGCGCAACAGGCTGAGTGCATGCTGTACACGGCGGGCGGCGAACTGAGAACTACCCTTGAACTTGGTCGTGAACCTCTTGTCCGACGGCGCCCCCTGGAGCTCCCATTCGGACCACTCGATGTTGAGACGCTCCAGCCACGGAAGAAGGGCTCCTTGAACTTGATGTTTCGCAGTCTGCCCCTTGCAGCGGACCGCGATGATGGACGCGTCGATGGCGCGGTTGAACGCCGAGTCCAGCGACAACTTCGGGAAGACCGTGGGCAACTCACTGGGGGTCTCCTTGACCACGTTGGGCTCGCGCTTGAGTTGTTTGACCTCTTCATGAAGAGCCTGGAGCTGTTTGGTGTGACCGCGTTGAATAGTTTCCACTCCATTGAGACGTTGTTCGACCTGCGATGCCATCGCCGAGCATATAGTTTGCACTCTGGTGGCCAATCCTTGAAGACTGGAGTTGAGCGCGGACGTCGTGTTCGTGACCTGCTCGAGCAGCTCCGCACGCAAGGCCTCGATGGAGTCCTGGAGGTTGGCGGCATGGACGATCTCGAAGTCAGCGTCACCAGCGGGTGGAGGGCCAGCGCGACGCTTGTTGATACCACTTTGCACTCCTTGGCCACCACCACCCAACTCAGCACCAGGAGGGGCAGCGCCACGGACAGGAGTAGCCACTTGTGAAGACCCACCAGCGCCCACTTGCGACGGCGGGAAGGTCGGGATGTCGTCGAGGTCGATGTCTGTGGCCATCTGCATCTGGCTCGGGATGGTGTGAACGCCATCGCCCATGGCTCGGAGAGAGCACTGGTGGTGCACAGGATGAGAGATCTGGAAGGTGTGCCGCGGGCAAGCCCCAAGCGATTCGAGAAATCGCTACGGATGGGTCCAAAGCTAATCGCAACACCTCGGTTCCCCGAACCTTCGTTACGTTTAGCCTTGAGCCAAAATGGCTACGGACCTCCTCCTGCTGCTCCTCCTCCTCCTCCTCCTCTTCTGGCTCCTCCTCCTCCTCCTCCTCCTTGTCATCCTCCTCTCTCTTTTCTCAGTGCGTACACGGGTGCTTACTGGAACGCGTGCCGGGAGCCTTTGGGGAAGCATTGTGGCAGTATCTTGAGCCTCTCCAGGCCTTCCTTTGGAATCCTTTCGGGCCTTTTTCGGCCCGTCTGAGGGCCCATTTCGGCCGTTCCGGGTCCTTCGTGGCTCGTCGTGGGGAGCTCAGCCCGTCTTGGGGTCCTTCTGGGGCCCTCTCCGACCATGTAGGAAGCCTCTGGTGGCCCCCTCGGGCTTCCTAGGGGCTCTCGTGGGCCGTCTTCTGTAGCTCTTCTGTGCCGCTTGATGCTCTCTTCAGCCCATCTTGGGACCCTCTTTGGGGCCTCTGGGGCCGTCTGGGGCGCATTTATGGTAACCTCTTGGGCCGTCGCGACCGCTGGTAGAAATGAAAAGCGAAGCTCGCAGAAATATACGCTTTCCCATGGGAAATGCTTGATGTTTGCCTTTGGCCCCAAGCCATGCACCCTCCTAAAAGCGACGCTCGCGTCCCTGGGGCAATTATTCCGTATGAAGTTATAGATATGTGTATGTTCGAGGTCATGGCTTTAGTAAACGACGCAATGTTGGCGTCCTAGAGGCCACGATCTCCGGTAAATTTCGCATCCCCGAGACCACGACTCCTTTGAAATCACACCACAATCGCGTCCTCGAAGCTACGACCCCCTGTAAATTATACGGTATGCACGTTGCCGAGGCCATAATCTCTTGCAAATTACACCATAGTCGCGTCCCCGAGGACACGATCCTTAGTAAATTACGCCACGCTCGCGCCCCCGAGGCCAAGCCCCCTTGTAAATTACGCTGCTGCTGCTCGCGCATCCTCCTTTCTCCTCCTCCTCCTCTTCCTCCTCCTCCGCCTCCTGCTCCTTTTCCTCCTCCTCGTCCTCCTCCTCCTCGTTTTCATCCTCTCCTCCTCCTCCTCTCCTCCTCCTCCTCCTCCTCCTCCTTCTCCTCCTCCTCCTCCTCCTGCTCATCATCATCATCATCCTCCTCATGGACCCATATTCTCCCCATTGGCCCATGGTCCTGCAGATTCTTACACAGCTCGTCGATGTCATGCAATGCGAACATCATCCCCATCATTAGCATCATCATCATCATCATCATCATCATCATCATCATCATCATCATCATCATCATCATCATCATCATCATCATCATCGCCATCATCGCCATCATCACCATCACCATTACCATCACAATCATCATCGTACTCATCAGCAACAGCAGCGCCAACATAATCATCACCATCATCATCAATATCTACACCATTATCATCATCATCATCATCATCAGCATCAGCATCATCATCATCATCATCATCATCATCATACTCATCATCATCATCATCATCATCATCATCCTTATTCTCATCATCATCATCACCATTATCATCATCGTCATCATCGTCAGCCCAAGCATCATCATCACCATCATCATCATCATCATGATCAGGTTCATCATCATCATGGCCAACATCCTCGTAGTCCTCAGCATCAACATCATCCGCGATCCTCAGCATCAGCATCCTCGTCGCCATCACCATCAACATCAGCATCATCAGCATCAACATCATAATCCTCGTCATAATCATCAACATGATCATCGTCATTACCATCGATTGTCATCATCAGCATCCTCCTCATCATCAGCATCATCATCGTCATCAACATCATCATCATCACCATCATCAGCATCACCATCAACATCAACATCAGCATCATCATCAGCAGCAACGCCGTTATCATCACCCGTACCAGCATCAGCACCAGCACCAGCACCAGCACCAGCGCCAGCGCCCGCAGCATCATCATCATCATGATCAAGAGATCCATCACCATCATCATCGAAGCCAATATCAACATCATCAGCATCACCGTCAGAGTCAGCATCAGAATGTCTTCAAGACGGCGCCAAGACCTCCGAATCTAGCTCTTATGCATCCCGTTCTGATAGCAAGGGGGTCGGCGGGAGGGGGCGACGCCCTTTCGGATGACCCGTCGGAGGTCCGCGCGGAATTCTTGCGTCGGCGCAGGAGGCGCCACCAGGGAGCGTCCAACGCCGACCTAAGAAATCCGCGCGAACCTCAGAAGTTGCTTTGTTCTTCGAGAAGAGGGGCCGGAGAATTGAGCGTGCAACATATAGTCAAGGGCCAACGGTGTATCACCTCCTGACCTAGCCGCAGACGTCAAAATCACAGCTTAACTGCTTGCAGGCGAACTCGACGAGATGGCGCAAAGAGGTACGACGCGCGGCCTGGGGACTTCCTGGCAATACTGTTTAGCGAAACTACCTGGTATAGAACACTGATATTCCAAGACATCACAAAAAATATTCAAGCCAGCGAATGTCTACGCAAACAGACGAGTGACACCAAAACCTCCAAAGGCCAGATAGCGGTGACCAGGTGAGACACGAGCACGCATGCAGCGCCGCATCACACACTGATTAGGGTCTCTATCACGGGCCCATTTGAGCGACGATCAAAAACCGGTCTTACGCAGGGTGGCATAGCGGTCTTACGCGGTGGCTTACGCGGGCCGCCCGCGCGGCACGCCGCATTTGAAGCGAGGGCGCTTACGCCTTACGTGCGACCTTACGCGGGCAGCCTGCACGCCAATGTCGGCGCAGACGACCCCGTGTTTGACTAATTATGGGGGGGGCTGTCTCTGTGCAGCCCGCCCCTCTTCCGCGTGCTGTAGCTTCCTTCGTCCGCCAAAACCCCTCCTCCGCGCATCCCCCCGCCACCCCTCCGACACAGCCTCCGCGTGCGCAGCTCGTGGGGCCTCCAACCACCACGAGCAAACTGCCAAACCTTCAGCGACGGCGCGGCGCCGCCGGGGAGGAGAGGGCACGGCCCAGGGGTCGGCAACTCCCTGGCGCGCCGAGGAAGACGATCGTGATGAAGGTGTTCCTCACCTCCAGCCTCGTTGGTTTGAAGGCGGGGGTGGCTGATGCGAGAGGGGGGGGTGGCGACCGCTGATGCCGTGCAAAATCTGAGATGCGCATGCTACCTATCTGGCGACAAATCATTTTCTCTCGGAATTCGCCCCCCCCCCCCTCCCGTTTGTCACACCCCCACGTTCAAACAAAGGACGGCCTCCATTTTGGGCCAGGGACTGCCTCGCCTTGGCACTCCACGCCCAGCCTCGTGCCCTCGCACAGCTGCCCCCTGGACGCACGGGCGCACGACCAGCCCCCCGCGGTGTGCCCGCTCGGCGGCGTGCTCGGAGGCTCGGCGCGGTCGCCCTTGCCCGCACCCGCGTCCGCGGCCGGCATCGCCCCGTCCGAGAGCCAGAGCCCGCTCGTGTGCTCCGTGATGAGCAGCGCCTGAGCCTCTCGGGGCCCCGAGACTGCAGGCCTCCGAGGAGAGGGCGAAGCAGATGGGGTCGGAGGATCGCGCCGCATCGCCAAGGCAACGACGATGCGGCTCGATGCGGATCCCGATCTTCTCCACGACGACGGAGCCGATGCATCGCCGACGCCGATGCATCGCCGATGCGGCGATGTAGCGCCGATGTGTCGCCGTACCGCCGATGCGGTGCGATCCTCCGATCCCTTTTACTCGAACCCCATCTAGGAGCCTCTGAAGACGGACCGTGCGGCGACCGTGGCATCCCCAGCGTCCTCACCGCACGGCCCGTCACCTCAGGGTCTTGGGACCCTGGAAGCCTGTCGCCCGAGACGTCCTCGGAGAGCGAGCCGAGTCCCCAAACCGTGCGGTGGCCCCGAACCCCCACCGACTGACCACACCGGCCCTCCTCCGAGCGCCTTGCTTCTGGGCCATGACTCGGGCCTCCAGCGGCCGCTCGGGGCAGTGCGGGCATCCCCAGCATGCTCTCGGCGAGGCGCAGCCGCTGGAACGTCTCCGGAGGTCCCAGACATGCGACGTCCTGCTGCTCTCAACATGGCGTCCCCAGAGTTCCCACCTCTTCCCCAGGGCCGGTTTTTCATACCGAATCGCTTTTCGACGGTCCCGGGGTCCAGCGAGGGCCTCCAGAAGCCGACAAAGGTTAAACACCTCCCGTCCTGGTTTTGTTACGACGCGAGCATGCCTGGGGCAGGACCCCCCTCCCGAAAAGAAAAGGCGGGCCAGAAAACTCCCAACAGCTCACGGCACCCCCCATGTAAGAAGAAGCCAGAACGAGGGAAAAACTCGGGTGGGGAGAAATCGAAAACCTCTGAGACCCGGCGGCCCTGGAAGACGTCTCGGGCGCTGCGTCCTTCTCAGAGCGTTCTGGAACGCTCTGAGAACCTTCCGGAAGCTCTGGAACGGATTGATCCTCGTCCTATAGCCCCGTCCGACCATGGGGCGGGTGGTAATGGGGGGTGACCCAAACGAGGGGTGAAGAAGAGAGTCCTGAAGAGGTCCTTGGGGACCCCTTTTGGAGCCATTGGGTGCCACAAAAGGGTACTGTTTGGAGCCTTCCTTCTTCACCCCCCATGTGTGTCACCCCCATGCGGAACGGGTTTTTGTCCTCGCCCCCTGACCTTCCAGGAGGGCCAAATAATAGCACCAGGACCTTGATACCAAACCCCAAGACCGCTCCAAGACGGCTCCAAGTGGCCAAAGAGCTCCCCCAGGAGGCCCCGAAGAGGCGAACATTCTTCCAAAACCTGGACGATTAATGTTTTCGGCTTTCTCGCCTTTTCGCTTCCGATGTCCATCCGAGGCTTCAAGATGGTTCCAAGATGGCCCAGGAGGGCTCCAAGAGTGCTCCCAAGGCTCCCAAGAGCGCTTCAAGAAGGCCCCAAGAGGCGCCCAGGAGGCCCAAGGAGGCCCCAACAGGCGCCCAAGAGGCCTCCAAGAGGCTCCCAAAATACCCCCAAGAGGACCCCAAGAGGCTCCCAAGAGGGAAGGGGTGCAAACCTTTGGGGGTCACGTCATGAAGCAACGTGAGACTCGGAACTGTCGGGTGCACCGAAGCGGAGTGCCAGGAAGGAGGGGTCAGAGCGCATCGTGGCCATCGAAACATGTGAACGGACGAAGGGCGGGCAAGGAGCACGCGGAAATCAAAGTAACAAGGAACTAACAAATAACAACATTCTAATTCGCACGCGCGTGGCAGCTCCTGGGGGTCACAAAGCGGAAAGTACTCCAATCTTCTCCTGGCACGTCCCCGTCAGAGATGCTGGATCTCTTGAGCGCGGGGCTCGGAGCCTCTGGAACCGTCCAGGAGTGCCTCAATGAGTCCACAAAAAAATAGCATGCTCTACGGCCAGACGCCAACAGCGTCCCATAGCGGCCCAACATTGTCTCACGATGGCCCTCGATGCCCCCAACACGCCCCTCGAGGCTTCCAAGAGGCGTCCCAGAGGCGGAATTCATGATTTTTCACCAGGCGATTGGAGGTTTTCAGCCTTCTCGCCTTTTCGACTTTCCCACGCCCCAAGGAAGACCAATGAGCCTCCAGGACCGCCCAACACACAGCCCCACGATGGCCGAAGGCGGCTCCCGAGATGGCCCAAGAGGCGGCCACACGGGCCCAGGAACGCTCCGAAACGGCCCCACGAGGGGCCGATGAGCCCCCACCATGGCTCCAGGCCGCTCAATATGGCCCCAAGACGGCCCAATAGACCGCCAAGACGGCTCAAGAGGCTTCATCTCCTCCTGCGCCTCATCATCTTCCTCCTCCTCCTCCTTCCCCCTCCTCCTCCTCCTCTTCCTCATCATCCTCCCTCCTCCTCCGCCTCCGCCTCCTCCTCTTCACTCTGCTCCTCGTCCTCCTCATCCGCCTCTTCCTCCTCCTGTTCCTGCGGTCGCATTCACGAGCCGCCACCCTCCAAAACGGAACGGCTCAAACTTGCGACAAATACATCCGATCTGCAACATGGCCCCACAACGACCATCCAGAATCATCAACCCCTCACCAACACAAACAAATAAATCACCGACCAGACCCGTGACCACCCACGATTGCCCCAGGACAACCGCGCCAGAATCTGCGACGAACCCCCGAAACCAAATCCGCAGTCACTGCGACCCCCTCAGGAATACACCCCCAAATCGACAGAGGTGCGCCAATAAGGGCCGGCGGAATGAGCGAAGCGATTGAATAATGGTTTAGAGCGACACACTCCGAGATTTGCTCGGCCCCACGTCTGCACAAACAAAAATAATCCACTACCGAGGAACTCAACATTTTCAGTATACGCTTTTGTGTTCATATCTTGTGAACACCCGTGCACCCCTCCTGGTATCGAGATAGCACCACGCCTGCCACGCGTTGCGACCCTGGCGTGAACAGCGACCCTACCACCAGCACAACCCCTGCTGCATCGAGAAAGTGCAACGCCTGCCACGCTTTGCAAGCATGGCACAGATAGCGACCCCACCCCCGGCGCACGGCACGCGGTGCCGTGAAAGATGCCACGCCCGCCACGCGTTGCAGCCCTGGCGCGGCGAGCGCCCCCCCCCCCCCAGCACACCTCCTGCGGTGCCGAAAACCGAGCGCTGGCGCAGCGAACGGCAGCAAAGTGCGGACGCTCTGACGCTCTTGACGCTCTGATTAGGTCGGGCGTGTCCCCCAACAGGAAGATCTTGGACGAAACATAGAAAATGCAACGGATGCGGCAGCCACCCACAGCGCGCCCCCTGTGTTGTCGGGTGTGTTGTCAGGCAATTGGTGCTTACTTGTGCGTGATGTGTGTATGCTGTGTATCTGTGCTGTGTGATTTGCACATGTGGGTATGATGTCTTGTGTGCGTGTGTCTAGACTGTGCGTGCGCGTGCGGGTTGCCCGATCGCCACAGCAGCAACCTCTGCCCAGCCGCCGACGCAGATAAAAAGTGTGTGCATGCGGGTGAGCCGGAGAGGGTGGAGGTGGAGGGGGAGGAGGGTGAGACGCGGGTGCTATGAGCATCGTTTATCCGATCCCTATCCCCAGCGGCGTGGCCGGGGCCCCACTGGCCGATTTACCCCCCTAGATAGGGGATATAGGCCGTTCCCTTCGGGTTTCGAGGGGTGTAGCCCCAACTGGGGGGGCAATCTGGTGGGGGTCTCGAAGGGGATGGGGATGGGGATGGAGGTCGGTGAAGCGATACTGGTGCTAGGAGGCGCGGGTAGAGACGCGGGAGGAGAGGAGGGCAGGAGGAGGACTCCTTGCGCGCGCTCGCCGCCCTCTTGGCGCCGCGGGAGCGCGTCGGCTGCCCCGCAGCGCGTGCGCTGGCTGCCCCCCGGCGGGAACATCATTTCGAATCCACTTGCCAACCACTCACCAGAACTGCTCGTCACAACCGTTCGTCAGGTCACAGGGGGGATGCGCAGATTCCTTCGACGCCTATAAACAAAAAGAAGCAAAAGGAAAACAACGAAGAGCTCTGAGTTACAAGGATGTCTCGGGCGAGTCGAAGATCACCATCGGTCAGGACATACATGGGCCCAGAGTTGCGACGATGTCTAAGGCGAAAAATGCCCCAAGCCAAGAGTTGCGAGGATGTCTCAGGCGAAACTGACAGGACCACCAGTTTCGTGGCATCTCGGGGCTCACAGATGCCGCAAGAAAGAGTGTCCGACCTCTTTCGCATGAGAGGTCCTCGCAATTCTGAGCTCCCAGATGCCGTGACCTGAGGTCCAGCCCGTCTCGCCTAAAACACCCTCGTAACTCTGGGATCCTATGCCGTGACCTGAAATGGTCCAACCCCTTTCGCCTGAGACATCCTCGCAACTCTGAACTCCCAGATGCCGCGCGAGCGTTGGTCCAGCCCGTTCGCCGGACGCATCCTCGCAACTCGAAACTCTCAGATGCCGTCACCTGATTTGGTCCGGCCCGTTTCGCCTGAAACATCCTTGCAAGTCTGGCTGTGGCTGGCGCTCTGGCGAGAGTGCCATCCCAGAAAGGAGTGTGGCCGGCGCGCAGGCGACAGCACCATTCCTTCGACAGAACTGTTGCCAGCGCTCAGGCGACAGCGCACCACTCCCGATCAGGGATGTGGCCAGCGCTCAAGCGAGAGCAACATTCCGACACAGCAGCATGGCTGGACTTCCAGGTGTAGGCCGCGCTGGCTGTCTTCCTCCTCCTCCTGCTGCTCCTCCTTCTAGTCCTTCTCCCCCTAGCTCTTCCCAAACCTCCCCAGTCTTACCCCGTACTCCTCCTCCTCCTCCTCCTCCTCCTCCGCCTCCTCCTCCTCCTCCTCCCCTTCTTTTGCCTCCTTCTCTCCTCTGCCCGCTTCTCCTGCGCCCTCCCCCCCCTCCCTTCCTCCTCCTTCTCCTTCTACCATTCCTTTGCCTGCTTGTCTCCTCTGCCTGCTTCCCCTCCTTCTCCTCCTCCTCCCCCTCCTGCTCCTCCTCCTGCTCCTCCTCCTCCTCCTCCTCCTCCTCCTTCTCCTCGAAAGAGCGTCGACTCGGCTTGGGAACTGCGCGTGGCAGCCAAACTCTGAAAGTATGGGGGGGGGAGGGGGAAGGAACGGCGGGACGGAAGGGGAGAGACGGAAGGAGTGGAGGACACGGAGGGGAGAGAGGAGCTTTTTTCCTTCCAGTCGCGCGGGCGCGGGTCAAATTACTCGCGTCCAAACCGCCCGTCGACGCGACAAACGCCAGCCAATTTGGCCGCGATGCGCAGAAGAGTGCATTAGAATATTGCTTGCGCAGAGCAGGTACGGAGGTAGAGGTATGGATGTATGGAGGAATGGTGGTATGGATAAGAAGAGAGTAAGGAGGAGTGGAAGCATAAAACTCTGAACGCATGTAGGTGCATGCAGCTATGGGCGCGCGCGGGCATGGATGAAGGGCCGCATGGATGCGTGGAGTCTGAGAGTGTGGGACTATGGATATGTGGATGTATGGTGTTACATGGTCAAGGACATCTGGAGGCATGGAACTATATATACACACAGATATAAACATATCTGATGTAACCATATTATAACTATCGCGCGCTTCGCGAGCGCTCAAGTTCTAGCTAGGCCCGACAGGCTAACGCATGGAATATCACT